AGCGCCCGCGCTATACTCTTACCGGCTGTCGGTACTAGCTGAATAACAATCGTTGGATACTGGTGACAAATTGTTGCATTTGATTCGCTTCATGAATAATTATTATGGTCGATGATTGCAACGGACATTCAAACGATGACGCGCCGACTTTTTTAACTGTTTGTAATGGCTCGATAAAGAAAGTCATAAAACCGCACGGGCGAGTCGTCAGAGTGAGTCAAGACGCCCTAAAAAATTTAGCAGAGCAGTGGCATCGTGACATTCGAAGAGTTAATTCCTCGAGATCAACGCACTTCAGGGAGAAATGTCTCACTGTTAATGCGCCTCAGGCTATTGAAGTTCCCAGACTTGAAGCGTCGTCGTCACGGGACACGAGTTCTTTAAAGGAAACTTTAAGTTGTTGCTTTTTTGCAAACATTATTACACGCGTTAACAGTTGAAGACGCAAAAAATGAGGCAAGTTTACAGGGATTTTTCGGTTAATGGCATGGGAAAATTGCACGATAAAAACGAAAATGCTCGACCTCTTGATGAGTGGAAAAAGCGGGTACAGTTGGATTTGTCGTTTTGGCGCGTTTCAAACGATTCTGAAGTCAGTGCTTGGCAATAAACGCGCGTTACCGATGAGAGGAGCGGCTTGAGAACGCGTTGCGTATCAGTCGGAGAGGCTACTTTTGACAGCACCTGCAAGAAATCATCCTCATCGAGATACTCATCCGATAATTTTGAATCGCCGTCGATCGATCCGAATTTCTTATCTCGGCCACGCCACCTGCGTATGATATCGACGAAGACAGACACGCTCAGAGTCGAGCGCTGATAATGTGCGCGCATTCCAGAAATAATAGGTGCAAAATAAAATGCGTGAAAAATACGCTGGGGCCCCAAGCTGCGGCAGCACGGATGTGCCAGCGAGTTGCGAGATGGAGAAATTGAGGCGCGTCGGGGCGACGACGTGACGCGACGCCGCAACGAGATATCAAAGTTTCTTCATAAACGCGCGCATACGTTTCGACCATTAGCGCGCAATGTGCACTTCGTGTATGAGTTGAATGTTACCTTTGACGGCAAATTTCGCTCGACGTATGCAAACCCATTCCGCTGATCGACGCAACGGCAAGCCAGATAAATTCATTCTCGCAGAGTAAACAATACGAGAGATCTAATCATCCTCGATTGCTCAAATAACGTTCGATAAACTACTCGATCACGTCGAAGCCCAGCAAATAAAGAACCGACGGAGAAAAAAGAAGCGTAACAATATTATCGTAAAGGGCATTCGATATGCCCACGCGCGGCTTATAAAACTAGGAGGCGCACACATAATCGTCGGGAGGAAGATAATTATTATACAAGCCCTCGCCGAGGGCACACATATACGCGCAGACCGGACGCGACTATACGACCCACCGACTTCCGCTGGATGTGGCGGAGTGAGAGAAAAGGGCAGATCGCCCTTGAAAGCGAAACGCGCTTATGGCGCACCCAGCTTGCGCGCGGCTCGGCTCTATTGGAAACCGATGTGGGAAATTGTCCATCCACTCTGATAGTTGGGACGATTATTGTCGTCGCTCATTGTTATGGCCGGTTGTGCTTGCGACGACTGAGAACTGTAAGTCTGCCACGATTCCTTTTTCAGCATTGACATTTTTTCCCGTAGCAGATGTTTGGTACGTGGTTATTCGTTTAGTAGTCACGTCAATTTTGCCAAGCAGTAACTAACCCACGATATAATGATTCATTGGAATTGGTAGTTTGATTATTGATCGATTATGATTAATCTAGAAATGAAGATTCATCAAAGCTATGAAAGCGGAACCCAAAATCAAATAAATAGTCTCGATTTCGTTAAATTAGAATCCTTACAAAAATAAGCAATAACTGCTACGTTTATCGATTCCGAATGCTTATTTTATACTGTTATTAGAAGCGCTGCGTATCGTCAAAATTATCAATTAAATTCATACCAAGAAAGAATATCAAAATGGGTAAGTCTGCATCATCAAGATGATAAATTGCAACTGAAGGGTATAGACGGTTTCGATAAAACGAGTTTATAGTATATTCACTCGGCCTATTGTCAGACTAGTCAACTAAGGCTCATAGTGGAGTAACTAAACCGAAGCTCAAAGATATTTACCGAACCCAACCCAAACCTGGTAACGACTGCCCTTCGTTCATCCATCAAAGTGTTCAATGCCATCAGGAATATCTAAAAACTCATTAGCTCGGTGAATCGTCGAACAAACTAATTGCAACTGAAAATTTTATATAAATTAAGATCGTTTTGCGCTGAAGGCAGGGTGGCAGTTTATTAGTCTTATGTGGAACGTTCGTTTGATAAATCCAAATTACGACGTGCTGTCTAGAAAGAGGAAGGTTCGTTGAGAGCAGAAATAATAGGAACTGGTACAGTAAATAGAAGAGATGAGTTTGCTTGATGCCAACAATTCTAAAAATTTTCGCAAATGCTGGCGAACGTAACGACGTATTTTCTTAAGGAAAACAGTTGAGTATAGATTTGGTGATAGCACAGCTATTTGTGGAAAACAAGAGGAGCATTCGCGAGGTATGCTGAGTCCGGACAGCCGACAATAATTTGGGATAGTTCGATAGGCAGGCATTTGATAATATTAAAAGCGGAATAGCTGAAAATGTTGATCGAGAGATCGTGGTTGCGAAGAATTTTTCATTTGACTTTTATTCTACCAAAGCTCGCAAGTTATTAACTTTATCGAAGAAGTTAGCTACATTAGATTGCAACAGTGACAATCATCCGATTGGTATACCGGTTCAGTAAATCACATACTAGATTGTTAATACCTATTGGTTAACCAGGGGCCAATATTGATTCGGTTATATTTCATTTATTTAGTTTTGATTACCTGTGTATGGTTTATTAGCGACACGAGAATCTCTTTGCCAAACATGTTAACTGTGGTATTTTTTAAAACAATGTGCACTTTTCGCACAGCGTGTTGAAAACGAAAAATTTCTAACTATAAAACATATCAATTATTTCCTCTCGTCCAATTTGAAAAATTATTTTTTATAGTCTATAAAAGTTCGTCCAATCAGGAAGTGCCTATCGATGATGCTCATTGACCCGATGGAGCAATGATCAGTTAGTTTCCTATCTTATTTTTTTCATCTTTATTGAATATTTCATTTACCGAATTCAATTATACAATTTCTTTCCTACTACCGTTTCTGTTTATAGTAAAAAAAATTTCCTTTACAATTCCGTATAACGTTTCGATCACTAACATGCAGATATCTTGAATAAATAAAAAAATTTACGCATGAAATTTACTTTTCGATTGAATTTCAAATCTGTGTGAGGCCATGAAAAAAAGAAAGAGCAGAGCGCTCGACAGGTGTGGGCGCGTTCAATCAGAGAGAAATTTCACATGACACTGCGCATGAATCAAAAGTTTCAATATTGATTTTGAATGCTCCATCAGCTGCCACCGCGGAAACAATTCTTTTTCGAAAAGAAGAAAAACCCTTATCAAACCAAACATATCACCCATTGTTATGATTGAGAAGCTGTAATATTCGTCGTAGCAATCGAACGATCAATAACGCGTTGAATAAATAGTCATTATAGGCTTTGAAAGTAAATTTTGCCGCAGCGATAATGAAAATGCTCGAAGCAGAAAGGGAATTAATCAAATCAAACTGGCGCTTGGGCGACGAGGAAGCTCTTATACGGCATACACATATACCTACCCACGTTACTTGTGCCTGCCCACAAAGAGAAAGAACTTTCCTCCGGACACACTGAAAATATAATCTTGTATGCCTTTGACTGTGAGTGCACAATCGCCATATATATGGCTATATGGGATAATGCGTCTCGAGTTCTCGAGCGTGTAACTGTGATTTCATATACCTATATAAACGTACCCACTCGAGGATTTTGTGAATGAAAACTTTTCGATTGGATGGAATTGTTTTGTGCGCCGGTGATTGATGAAAGGCTTTTGTGAAATAACCGTTGGGCGGTTGTCAGACGATGCATTATTACATTTTTATATTTGCAATAATTGCATTTTTTAAAACGACATCTCTCGCGTAAAATTGTTCGAACGTTAAAGCTCGGCAGCTTTATTGTTCGCACATGATTGAGTTAGTTTCTCAAGAACCCGGTTACGTATTGCAGTCTCATACAATTTCGTAGCGCCGCTACGAACGTCGCAATGTGAAATTGCACGTCAAACAACACATATATACCGGTAATGCTATCCCACAAAATCGATTCCAGTCGAATAAACAAACCAATGGCACCACAAAGCGAAGTTCCCCGCGAGACTCGGATTTTTGCACGGCTAATTCGGATTACGAAAAACCGCCGAAAGATCCTGGATAAGGCACATTGCAAAAGTCTTACTGTCGCGTCAGTTAACGAGGGCCCCGGTCTAATCTCAGCTCGAACAAGCACGTTTCATCGCCCACGCGCATCCTGCTTCGTTTTTCATTTTATTTTTTCCTTTATTTGTTCCTTTAATTTCGTCGCGAGGAAAGCAAAAGTTTATCAATTTTCACGAGAGCAGGAGAGGTAAAAGAAATTCCTCGCGCGTTGGTCTTGTAATTAAAGCGAACCGCTAGCCACAAAAGAACAGTTAGCGAGCGCCGAGCGCGTTTCTTTTACCGCAGATTCATTTTCATATCGAGCCAGCTCTCCTCGTTTGTTTCGCGTTTGCTGCATCGTAGAAAGGAGTTGGTCGCGCGTCGCCTCCTTTTTTTCTCTTTCTTCCCTCTCCCTTCCTCGCCTTGCTCTCCCAAGCGCGAGAATCGCACTTTCTGTCGCGCGAACGACTTTTCTTTCGAGAAGCATTTTTCGCAAATAACCGCAGATGTTATCGGCGATAAAGGCAGCCTGAAACGCGCCACTCCTCGAACCCACGGACGTCTGCCTGGATTAATTGACCATCTCCGCTCTGCGGTACGGTGAAGCTCGCCTGCTCGCGACGATGACAAAAGCCAGAACAGCTCACCTTCTGGGAGACGAAGTGCCGTTGGTTTGGTGCACGGGACTGACAGTGGCACTCGACGTAGTGCTACTGCTAACACTGCTACTCGCGCCACCATGACTACTGGCATAAGTGCTGGTCGACTCGGCAGAACTTGCACTCCTCGCTGATGCGGCTGGCGCTGGTCGTTGTTGACAACGACTCCGCCGACCAGTGCGCCGTGGTACGTTGCCGCCCGTCGTGTTCGTCGCCGTTGACGTCGTCGTCGTCGTTGTCGCCGCCGCCGTCGTAGTCGTCGTAGTCGTAGTCGTCGTCGTCGTCGTCGTCGTCGTCATCGTCGTCGTCGTCGTCGTCGTCGTCGTCGTCGTCGTTGTCGCCGCGTTTGTGATCGTGGCCGTGGTGGGCGAGTTCGGCGGCGCTGGCGCACCTCTCACCGGCGCCGGTGCGCTGGACGGTCGCAGTAAGTTGCCGGTCGTGTCGTTCGTCTGCGCCGCCAGTATTTCCGGCGCTATCAGCGCAATGTCCGGTAGAGAGCTGCACAGATCTTGCGTGGTGGCGTTGCTGCTGCTTTCTAGGATGCGTAGCTGACGGAGACGACGCATCGACGCGCGTAACCATGGCAGCGTGCCGTCGCCGTTGCTGCAAATGCCGAGAGCAAAGGTTTGTTAACGTAGCCTCACCGACAGTCTATTCGATCGACTGACCGAGCGCGGGTGTCAAGTTTTTAACGCCCTTGATATTGAATTGGCATTCGCCGATTGGTTAACGCTCTGATAACTGGCATGCGTTCTCTATTATTATTATTATTATTCGTACGTTGCGCGTATACATACAAATCTCCAGGCGTATTAGCACGTGAACGTGCCGACCGAAAGGAGAAGGCGTCTAATGTTGATTGGAACGATGCGGGCGACGTTGACGTTCAACTTCTTTGGTACCGCAGTATATAAACGTCGAAAAAGTTATTTGTTTCCTTAATTGCCGAAATGCTTAACGCAAGAGAGTCTTTACGCGCATAGTTAACTGGGAAATCGATACCGGCTGCATAATTTATCGTAATTAGTCGGCGCATTCGCGAAGGGCAAGAATCGCGGAAGCGCTTATCTTTATTTTCGATTCGATCGATCGTAATGGTCATTCGGAAACTGCAGCCAACAGGCACCCCGTTCGATTTTTCAAATTTTCTCCGCGCGAGCGTTCGACACCCGCCATAATAACCATAGTTATATCTGAAATAACCAACCTTTGAGCGCCGTTAACAATCCTACAAGTGTCGTTGTCCCTGACAGCGGGCACATTGCACTGATCGTCACACTGCACGAGTAGCGAGTCGACGACGACGATCGGCTCGCTGCTCGGCTTTCCCGCAGCCGCGGCGACTGACATCGCGACACTGCAGCCCACCTCCGCCGCCGACACCGACGACTCGTCAGAGCCGCCACCGCCGCGAGCAGAGCGCACGCGCCGCAAGGTGGGGGTTAGTCGAGCCGCCACCGCTACCTCTCCCGCTGCTGCCGCGGCCGTTGACGCCGATCCTGCCGACGCCGCTGCCGCCGCCGCCGCCGCCGCCGCCGCCGCCGCCGCCGCCGCCGCTGCTTCTTCCACCCACGACCAATCTACTTCGGAACACGACGACGAAGCCGATGATGAACTCGAGCAGGATGATGCTGATGATGAGTTTGACGATTGACTGTTTGGCAGAAAGAGATTCAGTCGTTAATTGTATTGTATTTCTTTTTGTACATCGAATAGAGATATCTTTAAATTGATGCAGTGGATTTAGACAAAATAAGGCGGAGCTTTCAATCGCACTTATATTATTTTATTCCGTAGCAGTTCCACTGTCGCTAACGAAATTCACTTTTTCAAGTGCAATGTTTTGCGACATTTAATTTCATTTCGTGCACTTCCTCGTTCCCACTCGTCATAAATTGCGCGAAAATTGACGTAATAATTCAGTCGGTTCGATACACAACCGATCTAATCGCCTATTAAAAATCAGCGCTCAGCGCATAATCGAGAACTTACAGAATTTTACAATCATCTGCATAATATCGATATTATCAGGTGGGATCCGGAGATACTTAATTGAGTAACGAGCATTGTTCAATGACAATATAATCGTTGCAGGATCATAAAACCTCGTTCGTAACCTGTTACCTGAGACGCAGTAAAAGTCTTTGCAAAATAAATGTTTTAAATTCATTACTTCATGAATCTTGGATATTTAACTCGCAAATTGCATATAAACGAAATCTCGGCAGTGGGGGATTCTCCTGCCTTTCCAAAAGCTGCACGCGACTCGCGTTAAACGAGCGATGAAGAAAGAAAAAAAGAAGCAACTCGTAAGGAAGAGGAAAAGGGTCGTTTCGTGGCAGTACGATGTCCGGAACGTTATATTGCCGCTGCACGTGCGCGAGATAATTAACTATGCGCGGTAATGGAGAAACCTTTTGTATCTATGGACTGTTTATTTTGGAGAAAGCACGAGGGCATCCACTTAGGTTTCACTTTTTCCCATCCGCTTAATTGCCAGACGTATCGCCGTGAAATAGGAGTTTACATCGATCGACGGAAATTTAGGATGCTTTGATTATTCGATGTGAAGAGATAGAGAGACAACAATTTACAAGTAAATTATGCTGGTCGCAAAAAAGAAGACCGAGTGGTGCTCGCACCAAATGCACTGCAACGGCAATTATAATGAGCAAGAAGTCGAAGCGTCAGCGGTGTATAAAATTGAAGATTGCAACAACAGAAAAAAACAAAATAATCAACTGGTGGCCATCAGCTTAGAGATATCTCTCTCTCATTCCCTTCTTTACGACGAGGAATTTCGAATTCCTCGAAACAATGATGTTAGTCTTTTGGTCGTCTCGGTTGCTTGATTATGCATATATGTATATATGTACGCATATGCTTCCGGTCAAGCGGCTGCCAAGCGTTTCGTAAATATGCCGTGCACGCGTGCCCCCTTCTTTTCGTTTCTTGTGCTAACGCGATGCTCGTGTAATGGAGGTGTTGCTCGATCGCCACGTGCTCGATTGTATAGTAGATGCAGTTCTCGAACATAAAACAAATAAAAAAAGAACCCGGCAATGTCGTGGCGCGGGGGTCCGGATTGATCGCGGAGAAAAGAAAGATTGTGCATCTTCACCGGTGGTACAGTTTTTCGAAGTGGAATTAGCATTTTAATGTTGGACGTTTGATTTTTGAGTGGAAATTATTTTGCAAGTTGAAGATTATCCTCGGAGAAGTTCGCACACTCAAAAATATAAGGCGTCCAAAAATGCAGCATAGCCGTGAATCAAGAGATTAAAGAGCAGGCTCATTAGATAAAGCAGGCTCAGAAACTTTGCGAATTATCTTTCAGAATTTATTGAATTCTGCGCATGAAACCAACTACAAAGGGTCGTGAGAGTGAACACGCTATGTATCAAACAAGAATAATGAAACAGGAACATTGCAAAATAGATGTAAGTGTAATGACTAACGAACGCCGTTCAAACACTTGGGGGCCCGTTACGCCTGCCTTCTTCCCTCTCTATTTTTTTTATTATCAAATTCGTTCTTGGCACGTGTTCCAAAGCGCTCAGCGACGCGTAGACACGTAAATTAGCCAACTCAGGAAATACGGGTTGGCAAAAAAAAAGAAAGGGTATACTATCTCGGAAATAGCGAAGTTTGTAGAGATTTGTGTTTTTTTTTTCTCCCTCTTTTTTTAGCATATGTTGATTTTTCAGCGCGAGAACGTTCATCGCAACTGGCAGAATGAACTAATGATTGTCAGTCTAAATATAGAATGAAATTGACGGATATTAAATGTCAATAAGCGCAGGATAATAAAAAATAATGAAGCTATGGGAATGGAAACTAACGTAAACATTTACGATTCGATCAATTTGTTGAAAAAATAAATAATAATCGCTAGATTTGCAGTTTATATATTTGTATTTTACACTGTTACTAGTAGCGTAGCGCATTGATCAAATTTATTAACTAAAATTATTAACTAAATTTAGTTTACAAAAGGGTACTGGAATTGCTGAGTCATTCATTGTAAATAGATGATTTATGATAGATATCTCTGTAGACTGTTTGTCTGCTAACACTTAGATTACTACAGTAATATATGTATAATCTATAATAGCAATCTAATTGTAAGCGTTAGTAGGCAAGTAGCCTACAGAGATGTTTATCTTATTATTGTCTATTTGCAATGATGATTTAAGTATATATGTTTGATACAAACTTACATCAAATAACTAAAAAATTGCTCACGTGGCACATTGTCCAAATGGTTTATTGTCACTGTATAGAGTATAGATGTTAGCTTGGTAAAGGATTCTGCAGTGCTTTCACACGACCTTTTGTCAGATTAATCAACTAAAAGTCATAGCTGTGTTAGCAAAAGTGGAATTCTAGGATATGAAAATGAATTCTTCAATTTTTCAATGAAAATACAAAAATCGTCTTAATAAATGAAATGAAACTAGAGACGTACTTCACTAATTTAACTTTGGCAAAGTTGCAGCTTCGAAATTTGAAATTGGTCATCAATTTACACGCGCAGGGTATCGTTGAATTTATGAGCTTAAATTTATTCTATGATAAATGAACCTGGCGACGGATTTTGCGACGGAATGTAACGAATGGGATTCTGAGTCTGAATAGTTGAAAATGATTTGTGAAAGTTCAGCAGGTAGGAATTATTAAAGTCGAAATCGGATAGGTCGGAAATGACCAGTGGGATAGGAAGATTGTGGACGGAGCCCATGGTGAAGTTTTTTCGGTTTAATCATCACTGTAGCAGACCCGACGAGCAATTTACTCGATTGAAGAGGGTAGGGGTATTCGTGCTCGATCGAGCTGTCATATGATGATTACGATAGGTCATGGCCAATCGCAGATCAGGCTGTTTGTGATTATTGGTTGATAAAGACTAATAATAATTTTGTTATTTAAATATTTTACTTTTTTATTGACTATGCACTGTTTTACAAAATAAAAAAAAAAGAATGTAATTTATTTTTCTATGGAATTAACTTTCAAATCCGCGTATAGGTCCATAAAAAAGAACGGGACGATCGACATGCACGTGCACTTAGTCAAAACTACACATGAATTCAGCTTCAATATTCTTGATGCTGTATGATTGGATGATTTTGCCTTTTTCTCTTTTTTCTTAATTTAAAAAAATTCCTAACTACGGATGATTTTTTTAGCAGATACTCAGATTTTAGCGCGAGACCGTGAGATTACGATTGCTTCTGCGAGAATTAAGAAAAAGATGTACGATTATCGAGTGAATGTAAATGCGAGGCAACACTCGCTTCGGTAGACTATACAGTCCCTGTTTTCAATGCATCCAATCACACGTTATTATTTTTTCAAATAAAATTGTTAAATTGAAAAACAATGCAAGCCTGTCATACAAGAAATCGTGCCAATAAACAGTAACATTATCACCTACTCATTTCTTCGCTGTACAGCTGCACTTTAAAAAATAACAACACTGCGTATAAGTTATCAATGACACTCAAAACGTCATAAAGTTTTCGCTCTCGTTTCTCGTTCAGCCAATCTATCTATAGCAACGCCGTTACAGTCTCATTTTGCCAAAGCCAGTCGTTATATCGACAGCGCGGAAAAGTGCTCGCGCGAAAGAGCAAAGGAAAAGAAAACAACAGGTAGCGAATCGTTCCGCGCGTTGTGCAATAACAGTAAAAAACGAAAATGTAAGAAATGAAGTCACGGGAGATAATGGGCAGGTGAAAAGAAACTCCGGCCCAGAATATCTGTCGCGGGCTTTTCTCGCCATTGTCATTATTGCCGCGGCACTTTACGATGCGTTCGACAATACGCGCGCCGCCACGCGCCCCGTTACAAAAAGCTTCGCACGTCGTTACATATCTCTTCGCCTGATTCCGCGTTCGTACTTTCGAGGACGCGTTATCGCGCGAAAGGCGACGAGGTTTTTAAGATTAACCCGGCAAATAAGCTATTTTAAGTGCGCCATAAACAAATCGAGTTAAGTAAACTTTGCGAAATCCATTGTGTTTTTCGCTGATTTATCTATAGCAATGGGCTAAAAGTGTAGTTGTGTGCTTTTTAATCATGGATGTGCTGAATGCTATCGGTCTCACTGTGACGTTCACCGAAAATGCTATTTATTACTTTTTATGGATTTTCTAGTGGACAAATATTTATATTTTTGAGAAATTATTTCGTTATTTTTTACAATAATGATCAATCAATTTTTAGCGCACCAAAATATTATATTTAATTAAAAATTAAACATTATTATACAGCAAAAATTTTATTCAACTGTTTATTAAAAACATTGTTTATAAGTTAAAAATTATAAATATAATCTGCTCAATGATAAAATTAAATAGCTGCAGTATATTGACTGTACTAAGGTAGCATAATCATTTGTCTTTTTAATGAAGTCTGGAATGAAAGGTATTGTGAAATAAAATCTTTATATTTTTAAATTTAAATAAATTTAATTTTAAGTTAAAATTCTTAAATATAATATAAAGACGAGAAAACCCTATAGAATTTTATAATTATTTTAAATTTAGATTTTAATAAAATACGCGCGGGTGAATCCTAGCTGTTGACACAGGGCGTGTAGAGCGCTTGTATAAACAAAAGAGCGAGTATCAAAAGAGCGGCAAGTGTAATAGAACGCTGACCCAGACAGACAGAATTTGTGTGTTTTATTAGTGTGCTGTCAAAGAAAAAGTTATAAAAATGGATGTTACCGAAACACATGTGGAGGCAGATTCTACAAATCTGCCAAAAGTTGACACTGGAATGTTATTCGACTTCTTGAAGTATGGACGCAAATTCCGCGACACTGATTTCGAGAAAGACAAAGGAAATTGGTGACTATTAACTCTATTATATTTTGTACAGCAAATTGTAAACTAGAAATATATGTAATTTAAAATTGTTATTTTGTTTCTAGTATGATTAAATAGTACGGCGACCGTGATATTGGTTACGTTACTGTGTTCAGAAATTCATACTATTGTGTTGTCAAAGCAAGTATTAGAGCTGATAGCAGTAGTGATAATTTTTGCTTCTTAATTCGAACCCGGATTTACGAGACAAAAAATGTTATTGGGAAAATTGAATGCAAAAAATGTACACCGATTGGTAAGGCAAATTCATTCATGTCATAGCTAGTGGTTTTCTTCATTACTGGTAAAGTGTATTTCTTCGATAACTTATTTTTAGAGTGTATATACATGGTTTTGCTTTATTGATGTGGCTGCACCGAAGAACTGAAGAGACTGTAGATGAAGTAGTCAATTATAACAAGAAACCAGGTTCAATTTTCAGTAGAATACCCAAGCAAGATATAGTAGCAAATAATCTACTCGTACCAAAATCAAACTTTGATATTGAATACTCTCAAATTAGTAACCTTGAAATTACCTCCAATAAAAATGATGCAATCAACAATTCAGTATCTGTACATTCAGTAGAAGATGGCAAGCCTCAAATAAAAAATTTATTTATGGATGAATTAGTGAAGAAATTTTTGAAGCATAACAAAGGAACAGTAGATGATTTTATGATGTTTGCAGAACAACAAATGACTGACTACCTTTGTCAAGAAGCAGAGAAGCTCACTCGAGTACAAGGAACTGAACTTTGGATGGACTTGAGATATGGCAGGATCACAGCAGCATCAATTGTCTATGATGCTGTATACTGCCGTATATATAACGGTAGGTTAGCTAACAAGATTTTGGAAAAGGTTACTAAATATCAGTCACCTGCTGTGAAAAGAGGGATCTATTTGGAGACCAAAATTTTACGTGAAGTAGAATTACAAGAGAACATTACTACTGTTCCTTCTGGATTGTTTTTGATACCTTCTTGCCCAATCATAGGGGCTTCACCAGATGCAATTGGAAGTGACTTTATCGTTGAAATAAAAGCACGTTCAGATGACAGTACTTTTGAAACTTTTTTGCAAAATGGAAACATCAGTAGTGAATGCAAAAATCAAATGTATTTACAAATGTATTGTACCGGTATGAAGAAAGGATTATTCTGCGTTGCAGATCCAAATTTTGAGAAGAATAAGAAAGTTACCACTGTTTGGTTGGATTACGACAAGGAATTTGATCGGATTTTAGCAAAAGCGAAACTGTTCTGGATATCTGCTATTTTTCCACGTCTTGTAAGCTATGTTAACTTAATACTTTCTACATAATAAAAAATTGTGATAAATTGAATCTCATTTATTACGTTATTAGATCATTTATCTATATACTTCATCAAATATTAACGAAGTTTTTATAACTTGGATAAATTATTTGCATGATAATTCGTTTGATATGTTCTCATATGTATTCCTATTTTATTTCTCATACATTTTCCTATTTTTATATCAATTGTTTCCTTGTATTTGCAATTATTAGGATTACGATTTACGAGTTTTTATTACATTTGAAAAATAAATCTTTCAAGACATTTTTTGTTTTATACTTGTGATAATAAATATTTTTTCACTCAATCCACTGATAAAAAAATTTTATAAATTTCCAAACATAAAACTTGTGACTCACCCAACAGAAGACGCCGATTTTCTTAAACTATTCCTTTTGATTCCTTTATTCATCCTCTCGCTATTTCTCCTCTGCCTTTTGCCAACAAGATCGCACCTTGACCTTCTACTCCCCGCACTCCAAGATTTTCTGTACGGACAATTCTTCGACCTCTTCTTCCAAGGTTGCTCGTTGTCCAGCCCCACGGCAGAGCAAGTCAACGAGCGCAATCGTTTGAACGAATTTCTCGCAGCTTTCAATCCGTCGAAATCAAAGTTCATCGAAGTCGGTCGTTTCTCGTAAACTTTACCCGACGGCGAAGCTTCGAACGCCACATTATCAAAAACGAAACTATTCGATTTCTCCTGTATGTAGCAAGTCGGCTCGAGCGGATAAGATTTCGGCTCGTCGAGTATTCTATGCTGTTCCTCTTCATTGTCGTCCAACTCGGCGAGAAAATCAAAGGCATCGTTGATCTGTCGCGAGGCGTCGTCGTCTCTTTCGCCAGCGGAATTGTCCACCGCATCGACACTTTGAATAACCGGCTCAAGGTTTTTCGTGATGTCCCGTACTCTCTTGATAGTGTCGGTCGACACCACATCGATTCTCTTACGAATTGGAACAACTTGATCGTGACCAAGTGTCACTAGCACGTTGTCCCTGTCCTCGGAGTTTCGCAGCAGGTCCTGACTGCGGCGCGTCAGCGACAACTTTTGCTCGAGTTTCGGCGGGCAGACGTCCAACAGATGCTCTTGCTCCTCGGGCGTTGCGTCGGCGATCGTTATGCGCGGTTGTGGCGCTACTCCGGTCTCCAAGTCGATTAGATCTACCTCGTCGGCTGCCGATGGCGACTCGGATGTCGATGCCATCTTCGCTGCACGATGGCGGTTGCCACGCTCTGTAATGAGAAATCCAGCAAGTGCATCAGTCACTTCGTTCGCGCGACTTTTTCAAGCGAGGACACGTAAGTAAATGATATGCGTCATCTAGAAGGAAGACAGAGAATTGACCGTTTACTCGAAGAGATCATTTTGTGGTCTCGAAGAATGCCTAAACACTATGAACATTAGTGGTACCAGAGAGGAGCAAATTAGAATTTTTATCTTTTCGCAAACGACAAACGGCAAACGTTACTCGATTGATAACGCGACAACACAAGGCTTCCACGAGATTTGGTCACGACGTTATAGTGACAGCGGACATCGTTGCCTCTAGCTAGCGAGTATTCACTCTCTTGAAATACGTCTACTCGTTGAATAAACGAATGGAAAAGAAGTGTTATTTTGTTTACGGGATCGAGCGGAGGGAAAAGCCGGATGGATTTATGAATAGTGCATTGCCGCTTTCTAGATGCGCCTATCGCCAAACCTGACCCACATCTCGTTATCCTCTCGTGAGAGTCTAACAACCTCCTTCGTTTTCGTTCCAACGTTATTTTCGATTGCCTATTAACTGTTCTTTTGCAGATTGAGCGGTTTGATCGATTGTTGAAATATGCCCGGATAAAATAAAAATGAATCTTATCACCAGACGCATGTGTGATTAGGAGTTTATGGTAAGTTATCAACGAAGCGCAATGAACGATTTTCAATGCAACTAATTTAGGTCGTCAATATCATTGTTATTTGTAGTATAATAATAATAATTCGAATTCAAGGAATATTGATAAATGCTTTAGATTTTTCGCAATTTTTAGACAAAGTTTCGTCAATGAATTACAACCGGGTCACACAATCGTGATAATGCCATGTTACAGTCAGTGTCATTTTAATTTCGTGACAGTTTGCTAAACTATATCAAATAACATAGGTCATCCTACAACACACACAAAAACTAATTTCTCAAAAATAATTTCAATCTCGTGACTGAAACCCCTTGCAACGCCAATCTTACCCGGCCAAACAACAATAAATTATTGTTGGCGAATCCTTGCAGCCGTGCGAAATCCCCTCGTTTCACCGGCGTTTGCTGTATTCGTGTCAGGCGTGATTTTTCGCGAACGATTTTAACGGTTTTACACTCAGGCACGTACCTAGAAAATCAACTCGCCTCGAGATTTCTACAGCAGGTTCGTCTTTTATGGGATTCCTGCGACGTGGAGGGTGAATAATGATTGTCAAGAATTAGCATAGAGCAAAAAGTTTTCCCAGGGAAAGTGCAAAATTGCGCACCCAAAACGAAAGTGAAATTTCGCATTGACATTAACATGCAGTCGACGTGGATCCTTCGAGTGCCCAAAGAAAAAATTATAATGCCACTGCTTATATGAATAAATAATTTGCAGTTTCTCAACTTTCGATTAGTTCGTCTTTATTATTATAATCAGTCGCAGATCAAGCATTCATCGCACCGATCGGTATAAATATTAATCAAAGTTGCACATCCATGTATTATTAAACAACGTTGCGCGTGTCTCAAATAACCATTCTTCGACAAAAACATGCGCGCACACACACACTCATACGCGCGCACGCCCGGAACAGTTACAGCGACACATTGTAACGGAGAGCGAAATTGTAACAAATGTTGCGCACGGAGAATCCTAACGATCGATTAAAGCGAATTCCACGCGCAGCCGTGATCTTCACCTGCGATCAAAAGACCTTGGACACAACCGACAGCACGACTTGCATGAAAAAATAAACCAACGACGAATTGGTCTCTTGAGGCGCTTAACGATACGGAGCAGGTGTCATGATTGGAATTTTATTGTTACACTAGGAGGAATGAGTTTTTAAACGGAGAAGAAATTCTTGCAAGCATAAATGTGCAGGTTGCTCGTTTTATATCGTAGACACGAAAATAATCACACTAAATTCGCCCTGATGTATCGATTGCTTTATTTTTTATCGTTTCTATGATCGTAGAATCATCCGAGGCAATGTAAGCAAAATAATTCCAGGCAATACACGTACGATTAAAAGAACACGAATAAAATGGAAACGACAGTGGTACAATTCGGTAAGAACTTGTTTATATTCTACATTGAGCTAGTGCAAGTGTACGGACGGCGATTGATTCATTCAAAACCAATTAGCAAGTTAACTGCAACGTCTAAAACAAAGGTACCTTCATAGCTAAATAATTTTCGACTGTTATTGTCAACGAGCAAGTACAAATCACTTAATATTTTTTCATGCAAGTCGCCAATAAGCGGCCAAGCTTACAAAACACAAAGTTACAGTAGCCAACAATACTATATTTGATTAAAATAAGCCTATGGCGATCTCTAGTATTGGATAATCATGCAAATCCGAAGCGTCATAGTGTATAAAGCATTTGCATAATGAGTCAAGTGGCAAATGAGGATTAGAGATGTAACTTATTCTTCTCACAGCTGTCGTAATATTGATTATGCATTAGATTATCGGAGGGTGGTTTGTATAGAGGTTTCCGATTTAACGTTATTAACGAAAAAACTGATTTTGTTTTAAGGTTACCAATGGCATTCAATGCTCATTTCTGTAAGACTAAATTATTCTTATCTTTATAATACCGCAACACGCGAATAAAATATAGGATGTAAAATCAATCATAAAATTTCCATCTTCTGACAATCCGATAAATCGTAATCGAGGTAGTAGTAAAAACACTTTCCAATTTTAATTGTAATTTTTAAATCAGCAGCGCATCAATTCTTTTCGTATTATCAATGAAAATCGTATAATCATCTCACATATCTCGTTGAATACTTAACACTTTATCTAAGACTTAGAGAGTTTTCTTACAATCAAAGGAATAATTTCATTTCAAAATTAATTTAACATTACTTTTTTTAATAGTCAAATTCGGCGGAAAAATAACATTGAATAATAAACCGCATAAACCTCAGGTATATAGGTATAAGTAAGTATAGGTATCAACTCACTTTTCCTGCGGAATATCTGCAACATCTCGCTCACTATAGCTAACATAATAGCGAAGAAAAAAAAGCTTCAAGTAGCCTTGAACTCCATTCGCGTGAATGACAAGCGAAAAGAAAAACTGCGTAGTGTGCTCGACGACGTCCGAGTTGTCATTGCGCGAGCAACTTGTCGCGCGAATGTTGTGCACACGCTTAGGATTGATTAGCGTGTCGATGATAAAAACGTCCTCCCACACGTCACTTCTCCGTGTGAGTGAACGCGACTGACTGTTTGCGCTACATTGTGGACAAGACTTGGAAGTAGGTTGGCGATGAGTAGTTGCTGTGGCGATTGAGGATTTTTTTTTTAAATTGCCGGCTTGAGGGTTGCTGCGCACTTTTTCTTTCTCATTTATCAGTTTTCTCGTAAGTAAAAATTTCCACGGCATCTTAATTTTTTTTCTCGATATCTTGCTCGTACGTGTCATTCGTTGCCCCACAGTCAAAATTCGATACGAATATTATTATTTTCCTCTTGCACAAGTATTTTTTCAGACTTTCACACTGTAATTTAGCATCTTATTAACCGGTAAGCTCCCAATTTTGCAATTATGATCTTTATTAATCTTGCACGATACGCATCAATACAGACAATACTCATGAATATTCATTGTTATATCAAAGTAGTCGTTCCAATACGCGCAAGATAATCACGTTTAATTAAAACCATTTAGATTGACGCTTCTTGTTATCAAGAAAGCGATTCTCGGAATAACAAGGGATGACGTAACGGACATTTAATAACATGCACGATTATTATTGCGAGTCGGTCATATTTAGTTAATAAAGAAAGATTATTTGTGAAATCCAAAAATAGCTTTCAATTGCCTCGTCGCAATCAAACCAATACAGAAGTTAAATTTAATATCCTCAATTGAATCGATCGATTAAATTCATTCCCGTGTGCCGAGAACGAAAGATAGTTAAAAATAGTTTTGTTCCCGCTGCGCGAAGGGAGCTTTTTTTTGTGTCTACAAAGTCGGCAATTAGCCGTCTGTTATATATATATAATTCGACGTTTTGTTTTACTCGATCGAGATGAATGTTGACAAGAGTTTTGACAATACGTGACTTTGACAGAGAAAGAAAGAGAGAGAGAGAGAGAGAGAGACTTGATTTATATGAACAGTACCAATTGAATAACTGAAATAGAATTCTCAGGTTAGTTTTTTATGATTAAATATTAATTAAATGTCTCATGCTCGGCTTTTTTTACATTCTACAAGTTTGAAGTTCCGTTTGAAGCAGAATCACGTTAATATTAATGAGAACCATATAAAAACGTTGGTTTTAATGAAGATATGCAATTTTTTTCACGAATAAAGTGCAATATTTTTATGGCTGTAGAGCTTAAGCTTTTTTGAGAACCTGAAAGAAAAAGACGGATACAAGATAGATCTCCGAAACAAACAGTTGAAATCATGTTACATGAATTACAGCTGCGAACTTTATTAGCCATCTATTTGAAATAAACGGAATCAGATAAATTTTTTCTCGACACAATCATTGCCACCTACTGGCAAAGAAATTAACTGTGGAATAAGACGAGTTTCCGGAGGAGATATACTGCGAAGTCACTTGAAAGAGTCGAAGTTACAATGAATTTTCACTGCGACAAACATCCAGTCGCCGACAAATTTATTGCAAAGTCTCGTAAATGAAAATCAAAACCGGCGAAAGGTTTAACAATTTGAAAAACTTGCCAGCTGCCGTTGACTTTTTCCCTCTTCTTATCTCTCTACCAAAAATTCCACGCTCCCGAACAACAGAAAACGTTCATTGACAAGCGCGTACGTAGCACACGGCAGCGGCATTTAAAAACCCGTTCGTGCCACCACACGAACGAAACAAAAGTCCCCGGTCAGAGGGGCGCGGTGACGCGAGCGAGCGAGCGAGCGCGCGAAGAGAAAGGCAACGCACACAGACGGAGATCTCATTTGCCAAGGAGTCGCTGTGTCAAAACTCGCGCTGCGCAGCGAGCGACAGCGTCCTCT